TATTTTTTCCCATCTGTCTGTGTTCTACACGAACTACATGGTTGGTGCTTCCGCCACAGATCAGCTGAGTCCACCGGGGTGATCGATCGCTCCATCTCTCCACAGCTCCTCTTCTGTATAATCTGGTTCATACAGATATTCTCTTATCTCAAAAAAGAAAGTCATGTTGTCAATGTTTCTGTAATGGCTGATTTTTACTAAGGTTGACGTTTTCAGATTAGACCTGCCAAAATGCAAGTCGCTGCAGATTCCTGACAGCACACATTTGGAACGAAACCAAACATTGTTCATAGGGGGGGGGNGGGGGGTATTTAATGGAAATCACTCTCATTTACATTATAGTGTTTGTTTTATTTTAGCTCCAAAGCAGAAAAGTGAGTCTTTAGACAGAATCAAACTAGTTTTTTTTTGTTCCTTTTGGTCACTTTTTGAAATCTGGCATAACAGGATATTGGTGTCATCGTCTGTGTGTTTTGGTTTACTTCAATGGTCCTTTGAGTTTAGTAAGTTTTATTCATTCTCTATTACCTGTATTTTGTGTGAGTTTAGATCCTCTTGTGTTTTTGTATTTAGGTTTTTTTGTAACTCAGCCATGCGATAATTCAGCCATGTGTCATTTCCAATTCTACCCTCAGTCAGCTCTCTGTATAGTTTTCCAATTTTTCATTGCCAACCTCTGCTGCCAGCAATTGAGTTTGGTGATTAGTTTCAGGCTAAGTTGTAAAATAACAAAGTACAAATACTTGGTTACTGTACTTAAGTAGAAATTTTGGTCATCTATACTTTACTTGAGTAATTATTTTTCAGCTGTCTTTTTACTTCTACTCTTCAAATTTTTTACACAGTTACTCTGTACACCCAGCTCCACTTTCTCTTTGTAGTCTCTTGCCATCACTTTCTCAGCAGATATAGTGATTTATGCCACCATGTGATTCAGACATTTTTGAAGTGGCAAAGAAAATATTTTATTTTGTGCTACTTCTGTAAAGGAACAAAAGAGTTTGGAGATCTGTATGCCAATTATGCTACATGTACACACATTTAGAAGGAGGCCCCTGTACAACCGGTGTCAGAGTTTGGTTCACATTGCCGGTAGTAAGTTGGGCTTGTTTCCAGTGAGAGTTGGACTCCACCAAGGATTCCCTTTGTCACCAATTCTGTTTATAACTTTTATGGACTTTTCTGAGTCAGAGAGGGACTCAGAGTAGAGCCACTGCTCCTCCACGTTGAGAGGAGCCAATTGAGGTGCTCTAGCATCTAGTTAGGATGCCTCCTGGACGCCTCCCTGGTGAGGTGTTCCAGGCACGTCCCACCGGGAGGAGACCCAGAGGAAGACCCAGGATGCTCTGGGGGGACTATGTTCCTCAGCTGTCCTGGTAATGCCCCGGGATTCCCCCAAAGAAGCTGGCCCAAGTGGCTGGGGAGAGAGAAGTCTGGGTTTAGCTGAAAATCATCCTCACCGCATTCTTTGAACTCTAACAAATAATGAAAGATGTCATGCAATTTCCAAAGTTTGACAGAAACGCCCAAGACTTTCTTCTAATAGTATCTTATTAGTCTGAACCTCTGCTATGAGAAGCTGCAGGTGATGTGCATTCATTCAAGAAATGCTAGGCCTTTAATTTGATAAGCAAAATAATCTGAACACATACCAGTTATCCTGTAATGGGCATGTGTTTTGTCAAACTGATTTATAAAAACTGATTTGACTTGCATTAAGCCAAATCATATTTCTGGATGAGTAAATTATTTTAAGAAATTTCATAGGCTGGTTGTTTGTGACTCTGTGTACATGGAAACAGCTAAGTGTGATCTTTATCTGCAGTGAAGTGGTTGTTTAATCCTAAAAACATTGAATTTATCATACTTTTTTCAGAACAGGTAATGCTACTGTCAAGTTTAAAAGCTTCAGTAATATTTAAGAGTAGGATACTGAAGGTAACAGTTGTTGTTTAATAAATGACTCAGTAGTCGCAGGGCAGCGTACCAATAAAGCATCTTCACCCGTATGTGTCATCCGTGAGCACAGAGGTGAGGCGGCCTGATTCTCGTCCATAGGAACGTTTTCCTCCGTACATTCCATCAACATCAACATAATATCGCTGACATTTCCTCCATCTGCTACCCCTTCCTGCAGGGATCTGTCTCCAGTCGCTGCTGTCAATTAGACCAGCTCCTTTCTCCCTTGGACTTTGGTGTAATCTACTTTTTCTTTGGACTGATCACATTAAGGTTCACGTAGTGCCATCACGGCTGAGAAAGAGGGAGGATGAGAAGAGGGAGGAGTGGTGGTGGTGATGGGGTCATCTGCTGACTGGGAGGAAATATAAATATATGGGACGTATAAATCATGGTGCAGACGTAAATAAAATTTGTAGACATTATCAGGTGCACAAGCACAAATGCCAGCCAAAATAAATCTTGCTATCAGGGTCTATGTTTTGAAAAAAAATGTAACATTGCTACACTTTTTAATTGCCTGCTGATGAAAAGCAAACATTTCTCAAAATAAAATGATTTTAGTCTAAAGCTCTGCTGTCAAAGGTGGTGGGTGATATACATTATTCCATAAAATCTATTCCTGTTCATCAATCCTCAATGGAGGAATTCATCTGCCTTTTTCCCATCACACCTGTGGAGCAGAAAGATGCCAAAAGGTGCCTAGAGAACATCTAAAGTGCCTTGCTCAAGTTTGGAGGCAGATGTGGGTGTTTCGCCTTCCCCAACTAAATTTCTGTGCCTGCCTGAGGATTCAAACCTGCAACCTCTCTATCAAATGTATGCCTTCTCTATCCTCTATACCACAGATCCCTCAAAGACAAACAAGACAAAGAACCATTTACTCCTGATAATTAGTTTCTGTGTTTTTATTGTGCTTAGTTTGTTTCTTGTCTGTCTGTTTCCAGCCATCTCAGGATTTTTCCTCTGCTCCTCAGTCCTTAGAAACCAAACACAATTCTGGTTTCTCTGTGCCTTGTGGTGCATTATGTCTGGTTTCTCTGTGCCTCGTGGTGCATTGTGTTTGGTTTCTCTGTGCCTTGTGGTGCATTGTGTCTGGTATCACTGTGCCTTGTGGTGCATTATGTCCAGTTTCTCTATTACTTGTGGTGCATTATGTCCAGTTTCTCTGTGCCTTGTGGTGCATTGTGTCTGGTATCACTGTGCCTTGTGGTGCATTATGTCAGGTTTCTCTGTGCCTTGTGGTGCATTGTGTCCTGGTATCACTGTGCCTTGTGGTGCATTATGTCAGGTTTCTCTGTGCCTCATGGTGCATTATGTCCGGTTTCTCTATTCCTTGTGGTGCATTGTGTCAGGTTTCTCTGTGCCTTGTGGTGCATTATGTCAGGTTTCTCTGTGCCTTGTGGTGCATTATGTCTGGTTTCTCTGTGCCTTGTGGTGCATTGTGTCTGGTTTCTCTATTCCTTGTGGTGCATTATGTCTGGTTTCTCTGTGCCTTGTGGTGCATTATGTCAGGTTTCTCTGTGCCTTGTGGTGCATTATGTATGGTTTCTCTGTGCCTTGTGTCTAGTTTCTCTGTGCCTTGTGGTGCATTATGTATGGTTTCTCTGTGCCTTGTGTCTAGTTTCTCTGTGCCTTGTGGTGCATTATGTCAGGTTTCTCTGTGCCTTGTGGTGCATTATGTCAGGTTTCTCTGTGCCTTGTGGTGCATTATTCAGGTTTCTCTGTGCCTTGTGGTGCATTATGTCCAGTTTCTCTATTCCTTGTGGTGCATTGTGTCTGGTTTCTCTGTGCCTTGAGGTGCATTATGTCCAGTTTCTCTGTGCCTTGTGGTGCATTGTGTCTGGTTTCTCTGTGCCTTGAGGTGCATTGTGTCAGGTTTCTCTGTGCCTTGTGGTGCATTGTGTCAGCTTTCTCTGTGCCTCGTGGTACATAGTGTCTGGTTTCTCTGTGCCTCGTGGTGCATTAGTTCCAGTTTTTCTGTGTCTTATGGTGTCTCCTGGTACCTCCTTGTGCCTACCCTCAGATTTTGTCAATTCTGCTGCCACATTAGCTATTTTGCTTGTTTTATAATCTTGGTTAGTTTAATTTTTGAGCTCAGTCTGTATTCTTTGGTCCAAACCTCTACAAGCCACAACTTACAGCTCATCCACTCTGCTTTTCCAGAAAACAACAAACAAAAAAACAGGCTTGTCAAAACTGTTGTGGTTGGTGTTAATTTAAAGACTCCAAACAACTTAAAAATAAATAAAAAAAGCTTCTTGTTTGTAAAACGCTTGCTTGTATTTATTTTAGGTGTGGTAACTTAAGGTGGTGTTATTTGAGTTCCACATAACATGCGGACAAGTTTCAATCTCTATTCAATGTGTGGATGAAGTCATGTTCACCTGTATTATCGTGTGACATTTCAAAATTATGCAAAAAATGAAAGATATGTTGTTACTGATCTTGATTTGGAGACAAAAAGTAAAAAGAAAAGGTCTATTAATGGGATTCGTACTGTATGAATGATAATAGGCAAACTGAGCTTTAAACAAAGTCATTGTTGTGACTTATACATGTTTGGCTCATATGCCATCATTTTAATATTAAAAACAAAGCTTGCAAAGTTCTCCATAAATAAACCACATTTGAGCTGCCAGATGCTGAAGTTTAGATCACGTTGACAAGTTGAAAAAAGAAAATTAATCTTAATGTTTTCATCTATTTTTCTTCCACATTTTGAATAAAACGTTAACTGTAAGTTTAACATCCAATCTCAGTCTGTTTTAGTGTTTTTGATTTGTCCAGTTTCTCCTTGACCTTCACTGTGAAGCTCTGGGGAGCTGATCAGATGAGTCAAACCTCCTGTATAAGTTTTTTTTTCACAAATCAATTAGAAAAAAAATTAGTAAAACTTTTGACCAATCTCATCACAGGTCTCTTTGGTTCAAAATCATGAGCAAGACCAGTGACGGAAGCAACGACCCTCTGACGTCTCTGGCTCCGGATGAAGCTCGCGTCCCCTCCTGCTCCGTGAGAAACACCCAGGTGTATAAAACCCGAACCGGAGGCGAGCAGAGAAAAAGAGGGAGAGTCGGAAAAGCAGAGTGGACATACAGCAGCTGTTCGAGATCAGGACCTTGGAGAGCGCAAAGAAAAGAACCAACAGAACACAACTTTCTTCAGAGTACATGTAAGATATAAATATTTGTAAAGAATATAGTTCAAGAATACGTTGAAATTTGTCCTGATTTTCATGTGTATTTTTATTTATAGCGTCTGTTTTCACCTTTTCCACAGGTTCATTAGCTTCAATGAATAAATAAGTTTGAGTGTAACTTCAAACAAATGATCTATAGTAAACTAAGTAAATTACATTGTATACAATGTATTACATTTATTAGAGATGGAAACATTTTTTATGGGCGCGCTACAGTCTGAGTTCTGCGTAAATGCGCACTGGATTTTGCGAGTTGACTGTTTATTTTTTAACCAGATTTGGGATCTTTAAAGTTTGTCTGAGGTAAAACAATCATACAATATATATATTAAGTGATATCAGATATACTGTAAAATATTGCGCTACTAAAAAATGTAAAAAAAAAAAAAAAAAAAAGGAGAATGGGGGCAAACTTCTCCTTTTTTGTGTTTCCAGGGTTCTGTGTGATATTTTGGGGAGGATGGGACTACATTTTGACAAAACACTTTCTGAAGAAGGAAACCGTTTTCAGGGGAAATATACAGACACGTTGGTTTGTGGTTCAGTATCGCAGCGCCGTGCGTAATTACGCATTAGATTTGATTAGCTCTGTCCTGCAAACCAAATCAAACCAAAGTATTTTTGTTCATAAAGCTTCTAGAAGCAAAAGCATTGTTTGTTTCTTTCTTTCTTTTGCATTTGGACCCAGGATCAAAGCGCGTAATTCCGGAACAAATCGGACTTTGATTTTGGGTTCACTGTGTTTTTGTTACGCGCAGAATAACTTTCTCCATTTTCATTTCTCAGGTGTAAAGCAATGGTACAACGGTCCGGCCCCCACCTGCTCCTCCTAATAGCCCTGTGCAGTGTGTTCTACTCCCGGACTCTGAGTCTACCTTACACATCTATGAGGTGAGCGCAAACCTTCCTGCTGTGGGGGGGGATTTAAGCAGGTTTCACTTGGAAATCGGGCTCAGTTTTATTCATCTGGAAACATGTTTTTGTTATTATAATAATTATTAGTAACATGAATCATAACGATAGACATGTTGTCACGAGCAATGTCAGAAACTGTTTCAGTCATTTGAACCTTTTCCAACTTGAAAAGTGAAGTCGGTTGATAGTGTTGCGTCCGATTATTTTATGTATCTTTTTTAACACAGGCAAAAATAAAAAATAAAAAAACACTGCATATTGCTGTTTTGATAATAATTGGCCCAGTAACACGACGCTGCATCCGAACCGGAGCTGGCGCGCACCGTCGTGCCCGACATGGATGTGTTCGGTGTGACCAAATGTAATGTGACTGTCCTGCAACTCTGCAGACCGACGAGACATGCAGACGGTCTGTTCACCAGCGGATACAGCAAACTCCTGGGACAGCTTTCAGCGCGGAGGTACCTGGAGTCTCTGATCGGGAAGCGGGTCAGGTGGGTGGACATTGCTGCTGCACACCGACAGACACACGGATATGTTAGTTATAGAAGAAATAAGAAACTTTAGGTTTTAAAGACGATTTGGTTTCAGAAAAGACTATTCACTTTTATCTGAATGCTTTTTCAATGTAATTATACTCAGGGGTTTATTTTGAAATAAAAGAACATCTGGATTTTTATTACATAGTACATTATTAAGTCATAATCTTGACTTTTATAGCATTGAGTTTTGAATAAATATTTTAGACAGAACATAAAGCAAAAGTCGCATTCCTTAAAAAAAGAAGTGACTAATAA